GCAGCCTCAGAGTTAGGGTTTGGATATCATATACAACCCAGAGGTAGAAGCAAACCAATCTAGATTCAAATCCAACCTCTTCTTATTAGCTATGCGCAAGTTAATTTGTCACTAAACGCATCTGGTTCCTCAATCTTTAAATAGTGATAATAATAAGAAATACAAATAAAAGTTCTTCTAGGGCAGGGGTGGGCAACCCCTGGCACGCGTGCCAAACATGGTACGCCAGTAACTTTTGCTGGCATGCAAAACCCTCTCTTATAATCTTCCATTTACAATTTTTTTCTTAATATCGACCTTTTTTATTTTTCAGATAAATTCAGTGTAGGTGCATCTTAGATAAATAAATAATTTTACATAACAAGTTATCTTAAAGACCATAGACATGGCTGACTTTGAAATGCAGTTGATTGAATTTCAGAGTAGCTCAATTTGGAAGCAGAAATTTATTGACCTTAGAGTTGACTTGGAAAACATTGAAAAAAAGCGATTAGAGACAGGAGTACCAGAGAGAAGTGTCGAAAACGAACTATTGAAGACTTGGAATGCCATTCCAGAAAATTTTTTCTGTTTAAAAAACTTTGCAAGAGCGTTACTCTCCATGTTTTCATCCACAAACGCTTGTGAATCTTTGTGCTCAGTGATGAATTTTGTTAAGTCTCGTAGTAGGAGTAGCCTGATGGATGAAAGTAGTAGCTCGTGCATATCTCTGAAGGTCACGAAATATAAACCTGATGTAAAATCTCTGTCATCAGTGATGCAGCAGCAAAAGTCCCACTGATAATATAAAACGGAGTCATAAAGTTTTCTGTCGGACTATCAGTGTACATGTATACATTAAAAAATAAATGTATTTTTCATCATCATATACTGTGTTTTTGTTGCTTGAATGAATTTTAGTATTTCTTCAAGGTTCTTCACATACGTACACCTTAAGAGATATCAAGTAGGCGTAACATGTTCTCAAAAAATTAGGGTTGGCACGCAGAAGAATTTTGAGTCAGAGATTTTGCTGGTTTTGGCACGCACTCACAAAAAGATTGCCCACCCCTGTTCTAGGGTTTTGAGCAACAGAATAAGGTAGCACATATAGCACACAGCAGGTAGCTACCAAATAAATGTAGGTGCTGCTGTTTTTCTATGGATTTTACTGACTTCTTGTCAAGAGCATGGAATTTTGGAATCAGACATCAAGTATTCTATTAGTAGAATATAATAGAAAACTCAACACCTACACAATAAGGAAACTTATTATCTCACTAAGTATAAATCTCAAGGTGGGACATGCTTCAAGATTATTTGATAAAACATTTCAATAGTGTGAACCAGACCAGGTTTTTTCCATTCTTCCATTCAGAGTGTGGTTTTATCACATAACTGGTTTCCTGATATTTATAGGACGGCTACAGGAGCATTCATATCTGATAGAGGAGAGAGAGAGAGCACTTCTCCAAATCATCAAAGTTCCTCCTGTGTCGTGAGTGGTCCAAGTCAGATCACATCTCCTCATACGAGGTAACTGTTGCCAAAGAAAAGCAAGGCTCCGATTGCATTTAGGCCTTGATTCCTGAACCAATCGGCAGCAATGAGAACAGGATTGTTTGTGATTATCAGGCCCCACTTCTTGAGCTGGGGTCAAATTTGGGTTTACAGTATCAGACCCAATGTCCACTACCAAAAGCTTGGGTTCCAACGCTTACTTGGTACTTCCTTGGGCAAGTTATACAACCAGATCGAACTTCTTGAATTTTCTCATCTGAAGGTTCAGATAAAATGAGTATGAAATTGAATTAAGATTAAATAAACATGAAAAGTTTTGGCAGAATGCCTGAGATGTACCCAGTAAATGTTAATTATGATTATTATTTATCTATACACTTTCATCTTATATAATAGTTTTTAAAATATTTGGTATAGTGTGAGGTATTTGAGAATATGAACAATATCAGTTTTTTTACATTTTTTACCTCCAAAGTCTTACATATAATAAATACATATTTTACCTCTAAAGTCTGACATATAATAAATGTCCCACATATCTCTTTAACAAATGAGTGAATAAATGAATATCTATTGAGTGAATGAATAAAAGCCTAAAACAATAAAGAGTAGATAGACAGACAACCAAATGGTGACTAGAAGAATTATAGGATCAGGAGAAATATGGAAACAAAATAGGCCAGACTGAGAAAGAATATATTGTGAAAAAAAAATACTAGACCTGGAGACCTTTTCCCCTGAAGTCTAGAGTGGTTGCAGGAAGTGAACAAAGCAAATACAATTGAGTTTAGGTAACTAGCTCATGGAGGCTGTGAAGTCTTCAGATATTTTGTTTTATAATTAGATTAGAGGCCCAGTGCACGAAATTCGTGAGTGGGTAGGATCCCTAGCGGCTGCTGGCTGCTGGCCGGGGCCTCCCTTCCCCCGGGTGCTGGCTGGGGCCTCCCTTCGCACCCGCCTTGGCCTGGCACCGCCCACTCACCTGCTTCACCATCCCGCCACGGTCCCGCTCTCATCGGGGCCCATCAGGGCTGAGAGCGTCTCTACTGCCGCCTGCTGCCAGTGCCACGTTGCCAAGGCCCACAATGTTCTGTGCTGCCCCCTGGTGATCAGCCCATGTCTAACTCCTGGTCAGTCGAACTCCTGCCCATAGGGACAATTTGCATATTAGCCTTTTATTATATAGGACTAGAGGCCTGTTGCACGAAAAGATTCGTGCAATCGGCTTTCCCTTCCCCTGGCTGCCGGCACCGGTTTTCCTCTGGCACCCGGGACCCAGGCCTTTGCTCCGGCCGGAGCCGCCTTCAAGCCTTCGCTGCCCCGCCCGGCCACCCTGGGTAGGGTCGCACACGGGACACCCGCCACCTTGGGTCGCAGATAGCAGGCCCGAATGGCGACAGGGCAGGCGGGATGGCGCTGTCCCACCCTGCCCGCACTATGCAAATTAGCTGCCATCTTTGTTAGCGGTTAATTTGCATATCACGCTGATTAGCCAATGGGAAGTGTAGTGAAGGTACGGTCAATTACCATGTTTGTCTATTATTAGATAGGATAACTAATAAATATTTGGATAAAACCCATATGAGTGCTTACTGCAATCTAGAGGAGGTAGACGAAATAATAATAATTACTGAGTACTTGATATGTTCCAGACATTATTTTTAGTGTTTCCCTGTATAAACTCAAATAATCCTCAAAGCAAACCCATAAGGTAAGTACTACTTTTTCATCCCATTCCCATGTACATATAAGAAAATCAAGCCCAGAGAGACTCAACAACTTGCCCAAATCACATAGATAGTAGCAAACTGAGATTTTTACCCAAAGGGTCTGATTTAAGAGTCTGTATGCTAAGCTATTACTCTAAACTGTGTAATAAGATAGGGTGCTCAGAGAAGCTAGGTTACATTCCCAAACCATCGTGCACCCAAGAGTTAAACGTGTTAGTGCCCACGAGGAGCACCACAGGCCTCCTAAGTCACGGAGAGTAGAAAGGCATAGCCAGTGGTGCATGACATATGTGCTCCCGCTGGTCCGTAATCCCTAGCTGCCGGGGCTGACCAGCAGCCCCTGAATGACGGATGAACAGGTCACTCCGACAGTTTCACTGTGGGGGAGAGGGCTAAGGGATGGCCCGCTAAAGGAGCCAGGCCGCCTCCATTGCCTGCCTCGTTAGCCTTTTATTGTAGTTTTTATCTTTAGATACCATCAGTAGGTGAGTAATCTTGAGAGGACACATGTGTTTACATTGTCCTCTAAGCAAGGGCATCTAGAGATTAAGCATAAGGATTCCAGTAAACATCCGGGGGTCTACACATTCACAGTCTTGTTTGGAAATATCAAGGAATAATTAGGGGCACTGCCTTTGACACTCCCCTAAGTCTCCCCTAAGTCAGAATTCCGATAAACAGGGCAGGTGACCTTCCACACACTTCCCTATTATCAGAATGCCCACCTTACAACTTTCCAATCAAGTCTCGTGTGCTTCCCAACACCTAGCATGTAACATAAAGGTTGTGGAGAGTGCCAACTAGACAAATATTTGTTAAGTGGATGATTTGTGTAGATGGATGAATGGATGCTAGTATATATGATGTTCCCACCTGATTTCCACAGCAGATCAACCTCTTTATATTTGGTAAATTGTCATTAATACTGGCTGCACTTTTCAAGATGCGACAATATGCTTCACAATAATGCTTAGAGTAACATGAAGGCGGCATTCGTCCTCTGAGATGCCCGCCCAGAGGATACGCTGGACCTGGAATGAACACAAGGCTGTGTGTCCCTTTCCAGGCACTCTCAGAATTGTTGCTGACCTACAGAGGAAACGCACAGCAAGCTGCCTGGATGAAAGGAAAAGCTGGTCCAGGGCTCTCCAAGGGAATTAAGGGACTAGGGACTATCAAACTACCACTTTCCTCAAGAGGAATCTACAAACAGTAAAACAAAGACAGTCACTTCTAGACTTTTTTTTGTTGTTGTTAAGTTTAGCATAGACTAGCCTTTGATCAGACTTCAACTTGAAATTCCTGCATTTTTTCCCTTTAGCTCCATCTACCCAGCTGCTTATATGGTAATCATTTAAGGGGGTCAGAACTCCTACTCTTTCTAGAGAACTGTAGTCCCCCAAGAGTTCAGTTTCAAGAACCACATGGAAAGCACAGTACAGATTTCAGATACAGCTGTACAAATAAAGTGATCTGGAAACATAATAAAGATGACGGTTGAGATCACTGCATTAGAAATCTCTCTGCCTGCTGTAACTATTGGTCTCATCTCTTGCCCAGAAAATCTTTATTATGAAAAAATAAGTAAAAGCAATGTTATTTTCCTCTCTATGATGTTGTTTCATCTGTCATCTATGAGGAATAGTCAAGAAGCCATTTTCATATTTAATAGGTATTGGCGGAGGTAATTAGTTTATAAATTGGACTTTTAAAAAGCAGCTTTTAAAAAAGTCACTATGCCGATATACCCTTACAAGCAAATGTCTTTAGCTTTCAGCCTCTGAAGAAACAAAGTCAAAACTGCTGGAGCAAATTTCCTGGCTGGAGGCAAAGCTAAAGGCTCTGGACCACAAGGAACACAGTGGGGAACCGTACGAAAAAATGGTTCTTGAAAAAGACCAGGTATGTAGTAGAAGAAAGATCACCTTTATTTTAAAAGTTACCTAAACTGATGTGAACTGACAATTCTGCAGTCCTTACTGGCTGGGTTGGAAGTTTGGGTTTAAGTTCAAGATGGCAAATAATATTTGTATTTGCTAAACATACTAGTAATTGTATTCCCTGATAAATATTTACATAGTAATATTTTTAAAGTTTGTTTGACATGTATCCCTTTGAACCGTATTATCTGAATACTTTATTTAGCAAATGGTATTGACTATACAAATGTTTCTTAGTTTTCAAGGTTTCAATCAAGGAATAGTTTCTATCTAATAAAACAGTGGATCAGAAGATTTGGCATATGCTTTTAATCAATTCCTTTATAAGAAGTTATTAACCTCTGGATCTCTCAACATTTATATATGGTTATTATATAAATTTATAATATATGTATATATTCTTAGAAAAACATATCCATGTGTTACATAGGCAGATACAAACCCATTTGGCCTCATATACATGTTTATAGGATATAAGGTAGATTAGCATTACCTACAGTATATCAGCAAGCATTATTTTTCCCAATCATTTCTAACTCTTAACACACTCATGTCCTTTATCATTGTGCTCTTCCATAGGATGGAAAAGAGATAGGGATGGATGCAATAATTTCTTTAATGAAAATTTTCAAAACCTCTAGCTGAGATAATGCCATTCAATGATTTGAGACCTGGTACATATTTATATCTGGAATACTTTGAATATGTAAAAAGAATAGCTATATACTTTGTTTCTAAACTTTTCTCCATTTCAGTACATTGAGAAATTACAAGCTGAAGTGAAAGCTTCCCAGGAGCAACTCACAGCCCATGTAAGCACTTCTTTCCTTTCTCATCTCTTAATTTACACCATTGTTATCCTGGACGTGAACAGAAAATTTTCAGAAGCTATAACTGGTCATTCAAGCCCTGGCTGGGTAGCTCAGTTAGTTAGAATGTTGTCCCAATATGCCAAGGTTGTGGGTTCCATCCCCGGTGAGGGCACATACAAGAATCAACCTCTTTGTAATACTTTAAGCAATAAAACAAAATAAAAAAAAAAGAATCAACCAATGAATGCATAAGTAAGGAGAACAAGAAATTGATGTTTTTACCCCCCTCTCTCTCTCTCTCTCTCTCTCTCCATCTCTCTCTCAAAATCAATATATAAAAATAAATACATAAATAATAACTGTGGTGTTTTTGCTGCAAACCAAACCACAAGACTAAGAATCAGTATTTTTATGCAGAGTTGCATAAAAGAATTCTGATTTATGTGGATGCTAAAACATAAAACTGAGTTCCTATATAACCAGGTGGTCTGATCAGGTACCACCAGGATAAAACAGCTGGAAACAAAGAGTAGAAAGACAAGGAAGGCAGGCTAGTTTAGTGAGTTACATGGAAGTGGAAATTTTAGACACATTGAATATAGGCCTACAGCAAACAGCAGTTCTTCTTAAACTTTAGCACAGCAAGAATTATCTGGAAAACTTTTATTTTTCTATTTATTTATTTTTAATGTAGAGTATTTTTAAAAACACATTGCCTAGAGATTCTGCTTCCTGTATACCTAGAGTGGAACCTGAGGCTTCGTATTGCTAGGTGATGCTAGATTCAGGTAATGCTGAAACTGCTAGTCTTTCAACATTATTTCAAGCAGCACTGCTTACTGTTTTATATATACTGTATTCGTTCTGCCCCAGTCTTATGATTTTTAGCTGATCATAGAAACAAGTCTGATGCAGAATTGTCTATCTTCAACAGGAAGTACATCCCTGAGAGAGACCCTATGAATTTCTAGGGTAGATTTCATTTATATTTTAGCCTCGCTTTACTCAGAGAACAACTAATGAGCAACTCCTGCCACAATGCCCTTGTGCATCCACGCACATAAATCAGCCGTCACCCTGACGCTGTCCCTTCCCAAGGATCTGAACAACCTTGATGCCCTAAATGCTTCCTCAAAGACTTGCTCACATCTTTAGTGACCTCTGTCTACATCGTGGGTGTCATGGGATGGCTTCTCAGTTAAGAACACTGGCCAGTCATGTTAAATGGCCAATATGAACAACAAACCTCTCTGGGGACTCTGAGTGGGACCTGAGAGGCTATAGTCCAGGAGTCCTACAGAAAAAAAAAACAAAAAAAAACCCCTGCAAAATAATAAATTCTAGTCACCATCCCTTTGGGATTTGAAATGAGCTGATCCAGATAAAATCACCGTAATTGTCCCAGTTTTGCGCTGGGATGGAGAGGACCTAACCGGCTGTGGCAGTTAGCAGAGCTTTTAACTCTAAATTCAAAATCTTTTCTGACCTTGTATGCTCAGTTGACCAATATTGGAAGTGACTGAGGCTGCTTTTGTGCCACTGTGACATCTTCAGACAGAAGTCTGTCTCATTAGCCCAGTATTTTATCCCCAGGCTCTCCCCTGGCCTGCCCCTGTGGATGCCAGATAATGGCTCTTGTCAGGGGACGTCTCCTCTGGCCTGATTGATACCTACTGCCAGATGCCCAGCGGGGGTTAGCTCAGAATTTTTTAGGGAGAGCAAATAATTCACTAAGGTTCTGAATAGTAGCTTCCAGCATCTCTTCATGAAAAACTGATGAAAAAACATAGTCATGGGTGCCTTAAGGAAATTCCTGTGGTGTCTTCTTCCCTTGCCTCGTTCCTGTGGATGCTATTCCTGTCCCCCACTGTTCCCATCCCAGGCTTGTCTGAACTGGGACTGCTTCCTTGTTTGAGGGTATTGATACCAATGACTGAGATTTCTCCTACGTGATGGTTCCAACATTCAGATTTAATATAGCAGTGTGATCATCAAAGTTATGCTTCCACTCATCAACAATACTTAAATAAAGATAATATGAATAACACTGATTATTGAGAGTGCATTATGTGTATACTGTGCGGTAGGTGCTTCTTATATTCTATTTTAAATCTCAGCACAACCCATCAAGGTAGGCATTATTTTTCAGATAACAAAACTGAGATTTAGAGATTAGATCGCTTGTCACACATGTTAATTCTGAAACCCATGCTTTTTCTCTCACAATTTGCTGCCTCTCCAAACTATATTCTTACATGCCATTTACGGCATCAATCAGTGTTTATAAAGATTCTATCTCCAATCTTCTTTCTCTCTAGGTGACTCACCAGTTCATAATGCTTCAACTCTCACTTCCATGCAAATAACCCCCTCCACCCCTACCAAGTTCCTCCTATTTTAATCATCCCCAGATTACAGCTCCTTGGTGCTCCAGTAAGCATTTCTTAAAACATTGTTCCGGGAAAAAACATTCCAAATGATGTTAATAGATATTTTGGGGAAAATATGGAAAAGGCATTGGAAATTAAGTTAAATGGGTGTTTTCCTACAAGGACTTACCAGTGTATAATCAATCTCCAAGAAAGGACCAGAGCGTGATATTTGTCTTTGGTGTTTGACCATAAATGGCATTTTAAACACACAGGTTTGGAGACTGTTGGCCTATTTCATTGAATTAAAGCACTGTGCTTGCTAAATATCACCTGACTATCTTGCTGACATTCCAAGCTCAGCATATATAAAGTCAAAATTATCATCTTCTATTCCCATCTCTTAAATATGCTCCTCTGTATTTCCTAGTCATGGTGAATAATACCACACTGCTGGCATTTATTCTAGATGGAAGAAGCCGTATTAGAACCCTACCTCTCTCTGCCTCCATCGCCAATTTAGCCTCCTGCTGAGCCCTCCCCTCCCAATCACAATGTAGCCCACTCACTTTCACGTCATTGGCCCCGGCTGCAGAGGCAAGAAAGGCTAAAATCAACATGGAAAGATTTGGGATGGGGCAGAAAACTAAACTGAGCCAAGAATTAGCACTCACAGGGAGAATGGGTGTCCCATGGAAAGAGCAGAAAAGAGAAAGGGAACTAAGGAACCAAGGTGGTGGGAAGGGAATCCCATAGATGGGGCGAAAGCTCTTTGGGGAGATTGAACTTCTGGGAGTTCTGGGGATGCTTGAGATGAGGAAATAACCGGGAGTATTAATAAGAGTTGTCAGGCAGTACGTGTCGTGTGTAAAGTTTGGAATTCCCATTTGGGCCGTGCCTCCTAAATGTAACACTACTGTAGGCCTTGACCACCCTAGTAGTCTCCTTGTTTCCCTGACTCCACCCTGAGTGACGTTTCCAAAAGACCATCATCTCTCTCACTCCCCTCTCTCTGGCTCATGCTGAACAGGCCAATAAAATGGACCTGCTGTCTTTACACATCCAGTGTCAGCTGGTGCTTGTGACTTTGCTCTCTCTGTTCTCTTGGTCTAGACCAGTGGTCGGCAAACTCATTAGTCAACAGAGCCAAATATTAACAGTACAACAATTGAAATTACTTTTGAGAGCCAAATTTTTTAAACTTAAACTATATAGGTAGGTACATTGTTATTAACTTAATTAGGGTACTTCTAAGCTGGCCTTTGCTAAAAAACGTCCTCAATCTGATTGAGGTATGTTCGCTGAGGTCGACCCCTTCCAACTCTCCCATCCACACTCGTCTTGTATACTTGTTTCAGATAGACGAGTGTGGATGGGAGAGTTGGAAGGGGTCGACCTCAGGGAATGTACTTCAAAACAATGTACCTCCTCCGCGCTGCGTATCCCGCGGCTTGCCTGCGCATGTCTCCCATCGCCTGAGGGACCAACACCCCCCACTTCTAACGCCACTTCTTTTTTTTTTTTTTTTTAATATATTTTATTGATTTTTTACAGAGAGGAAGGGAGAGGGATAGTCAGAAACGTCGATGAGAGAGAAACATCAATCAGCTGCCTCCTGCACGCCTCCTACTGGGGATGTGCCCGCAACCAAGGTACATGCCCTTGACCGGAATCGAACCTGGGACCTTTCAGTCCGCAGGCCGACGCTCTATCCACTGAGCCAAACCGGTTAGGGCTAACGTCACTTCTTCAAAATAGACTCGCCCAGGCCGAAAACCGACTTCTGCAGATGGGCCACGAAGTTTCAATCGCACTGTACGTGTGTGTCTGCACGTGGTATTTTGTGGAAGAGCCACACTCAAGGGGCCAAAGAGCCACATGTGGCTTGCGAGCCGCGGTTTGCCAACCACTGGTCTAGATTATCCTCCCCTCTCCTCTTTATGCAAGTAATTCTTACTCTTCTTGCATGGTTCATATCAGGGATCAACTTCTCCCTTCTCCCCCGGAGTATCTTCTCTAGGCTGCCACAGTCTCCTGTACAGACATCTGTATTAGCTCAAAATATGTTTTATTGACATTATCTGTTTATACATCCATCTCCCACTAGACTTGAAGATCATTAAAGGCAGCGCCAAGAATATGTTTCTGTACCCACTACCCCAAGTGCTGAATTGAATTGGATTTTACTCCGACCATGTCATTTCCTGTTTGAAAGCCTAGAGTAAGAAAACGTTTGCCCATTATCCCAGAATAAAGTCCAGCCTCCTGAAAATGAGGGCCTGACTCCTTTTCCTGCCTCCTCTCCATCACACATCTGTGACCCCCAAGTACACCCATGCATTCCTGTCCTGGAGACTTTGCTCCTGGTATATTTTTCACCTAGAATATCTGTCCCCACCACTGTGTTTGCCAGAATTTTCTCATTCGTCATTGAGATTGTTCCTTCCAGGAAGTTTCCCCTCACCATCAAACTAGAATTAATCTCTCCTTCCTTGGTCTTCTCACAGATCTTCTCTGTCCCTCTCTTCTGTCACTTGTCACACTCTGACCCCCAATAGATTATTTGATGTGGCCTGGCTCTTCCCCAAGACTGTGAGCCCCTGGAGAATAGGAGCGAGTCTGCTTATCTTT